AATATGATAGAGTGAATTCATCTATCATCAAAATTTAATATGAATCATTACTTGTATTATTACATTGTTTATTTTACAATATTTCAATATTTATGCAATTTATAATCATTTTTACCACCAACTCTAAATAATTTTGTAACTGTAATGGTATAAAAACATTCCAAAAGTTATTYGTCTTAACCAATCTTCAGTGCATATCTATTTCAAATTTACTCTGTCTGATGATTTCCATTCCTTGGTTAATCAACTAAATATAAAAGTTTTAAAAGGGATGTTATCCTCAAAGAATAATCAAATATATTTTTGTTGGTTTCTCAATATGTATCTGAAGGTATATCATTATTTATTCAAAAGTAAAATTTACATCAATTATTGCATGGAATACCTAGAATATCAGTCATCACACTCTAATTGAAGAAATTCAAAAAAGGAATTTAACTTATGAGTTACATTTTTGGCACCGGTCCAATGTGCGACCTATGCATACATTTTTGGTCCAATGTGCGACCTACGCATACATTTTTGGTCCAATGTGCGACCTACGCATACATTTTTGGTCCAGTGTGAGACCTACATATAGGTATTATAGCCTATACTGCATTTTTTTATAGTTATTATAGTTATTAATTCATTTATAATTAATTATCCTTCTTGTCTGATAAGAATTCATCGTAATTTATGTATGGCATAAAAGCATCTTTTATGTCTGATAAAAATTCGTCAAATATAGTTTGCTTGTTTGGGTGAAGGAATCTCCACTATTCCTCTTTAAATTGTCTAGTTAATAATGGAGATGCGTCATTTACTCTTATTTGATATCACTTTTTCATCACTTATAGTGCAATTTCCATTTTTGGATGGTTTAAAAATGCTGTAAGTTGATAATTATTTGTGTAGTTGAAGAAATGTTGGCGCTGATGGGTGATCGTTGGATCCTGYAGCCTGACGAATTATTCCAAAAAACATCTAGGTAAAATTAATAATTTGATTATTAAGTATTTTYATATAATTAGGTAATGTTTTTATACTTACTTCTAGTTTATCTTGATTAATCTTTCCGGTTAATAAATATTTGAAATTCCAACAAGAATTCAAGTATTTGGATAGGTCAAGTGTAGACTGGATAGTAACTCTCAAACCACAAGCAGTACTGTCTGTTAGGAATTCAGATTTTTTTATTTGGCCATTAATGAGTTGTTTTTCCCAATCATTCATCCAAATTAAAAATGATTGAAGAAACTGTAAGTTTAAAAATAAATTATAGTTAAAAACAAAATAAATATAAAGAAAATATTGGTCTTGAGTACTATTGATTGTGTTTTATTTACAATTAATTTTTGATATTGAAAACCATAATCAGGTAATTAATAATTACTAAYGAATAATTACCGATTCTATAACCTTATGATTTTTAAAATTAATACCGGTCATAAATAAATAAACAATAATAGGCACACTGTTTTATTTATTCATTTTTTTTAAAACACTTTTTTATAATTTAGGTAAGTTTAATTTCCATGTATCTAGTTCACAAAATAAAATGCTGGCAGTATTAAATTGTTCTTTAGATGTTTGATTCAATTTATTCTATAAATAAAAGTGACGCCTTAGGTATGTATTTTTAAATATTTTAAAAGTAGTATCAGTTTACTTTTTGATGTATGGGAATATTAAAATCAGAAGTACTGCTGCCATTTAAAGAAGAATCATTACACTTAGTAGAATAGCTATGTTCTATCAAAATTCTGGAATTCAGCATAAGATCATTACATGGATGTTCAATATTCATTATTGGTTCACAAATTAAACCCTAAAAGTTTATTGAGAAGATACAATTCAAAAATGAGGCTGAACAAGTTAATGAAAGTACTAATTACTAGTACTAACTATTAATTTCATTATTAAATAAACTTATGTGATCACAATATTTTTAATTAATTTTGTATAACTCATTGTCTTGTAAATAGTTAAAAGTTATTTTGTGCATATTTAATTAACTTAGAAAAATTAATAATACATTCAAATATTATATAAAGTACAAATTATAAAATATATTATTTGTTGTATCATTTGTACACTGAATAAATAACTCAGGTTCCCCGATACCATTGATTATAAATACTATAGATTGCTCACTGGGCGGTTTTTCGATGGTCTACAATAAAACTCTCGGTAGATGGCGATAAGAACTAGAAACATTTAATAAATTCGTATTTCATTTTTAGCCTCTGTTAAATGGCCGAGTGCGGTGCGGGGTTAAACAGGTTTCAGCGCTGAGACGG